GCCACAGGTGCTGCTATATATATAAATATATATATATATATATTTTTTTTTTTTACATATTTATGTATGTGTGTATTTTGAATATTTTCAATCTATGTTGGTCAAATCTGTGGATCCAGAACCCACAGATAGGAAGGACTGATTGTACTGTACTTTTAAGAAGGCTGATACAAAATTGTTTATACATGTAACATGATTCCAATTATTTTAATGTACATGTGCACAAAAAAAGGGACAGAGAGGAAATAGCCCTAAATATTAGTAGGGTAGATTATATTTTCTCAGATTTTCATAAGAAGGTCCCCTATACCCTATGCTTTTCCTATAAGGTGACCTTGATCCTCCCATTGGGAGGTGGGGTCTAAGTTTCCTCTCTATGAATTTGTGTGTCTGCCTAGTCCTCTTGGGATGTTGATATTCTGTAAGAAGGCACATGTAAACACCACACAGAGGTGAGTTGGCAAAAGCCTCAGCTGAGGCCTCAACTGACAGCCAGTATCAGTCACCAGACGTATGAGTGAAGAAGCTCCAGCCACCTCTGACTGCAACTGTATGAGAGACCCCCAAGCATGAACAGCCTAGCTTAACTTAGGCAACCCCCAGAATCAGAAGATAATAATGACCACCTTTTAAAGCATCAGAATTTGGGGGTGATTTGTTATGCAGCAACAGATATCCAGAAAAAAAATTTAATGTAGGATGATGGGGATTAATAATACTTTCCCATATTTTTCCAATATTTCTATAATGATTATTTCTTTTATAATTAGTAAAACATTCATTAGAAATAGCAACATGATCTAATATTTTTTCACTTTACCAAGGGCACACCGAATTTAGAGATTTAAACTATGTAGTAGACTTGGAGAAAAGCTTTCTATGCAAGATTTATTAGATATTGGGAAGGGTTAGGAGGATAAATTTAAACTGGTATGATGGTAAGAGTGGTGGATTTGGAATGAGGAAACTTGGAAATGAATCTCAGTTTTCTGAGTGACCTTGAGCAAGCCCTTGCTCAAATTCAGTTTTCTATTTTGAAAAATGCAGCTGGCTGCTTGAGGAAGATAACATCCACCAGGGCGCCTGGTCCAGAAAAGGCACTGTAAGTGGTAGGTGGATGCTGTCTAATTAATGCCAGTTATAACCGGCAGCTCTGCAAGCTTTATGGAGGGCGTATCCTTGATTGCCACCAGAAGCCACAGTTCTAATAATGAAAACTGCCTGGAAAGAACTATTAACGCTTTAAAATAATAATAATAATAATAATAATAACAATAACAACAACAACCCCCACAAGCCCCAAAGCCACTAAATGGCCTTTCCAACGGTCCTTGCCTATGACCTCCAGGCCAGGACTGGAACCGCTAGTTTTGCCGGTCTCTGGAGACCCGGATCCCATACTGATGGCCTGAGGGCCCGGGGATGCAGCGAGAGCGGGATCTGGAAGCCCGGCCAGGCAGGAAGCTGCGCGGCCGCCCGCCGCTGGGGCCGGTGTCCAGGCAACCCCGGAACGCACCTCCGCTGTAGCCGCAGGCGGCCGCGTCCCTCCCCTCCTTGGCTGTCGGTTCCTCACGTTCTGCAGCTCGGCAATTACGTTGCCAGTTGGTGCGTGGATCTCGGCCGCATGCTCCACGGAGGCCTCGGAGCGTAGACCCCGGACTCCCTTGGGGAAGGGGTTAGAAGGACCCAGAAGTGGAAAAGAAGGATTGAGGTCCCGGGAACGGGGGAGGGTGGGGAGACAGCGAGCCCGGCTTGGGCTGGGGACATCCAAATCAGCCCAGGTAGTGAGAAGGAGGCCCGGATTTCTAGGCCAGAGACGCATGACTTCCAATGGCTTGCGAAGTTTGTTTTGACTGATGCCGTTCTTACAAGGGTCTTCTCTTCATCTCCAGGTTGCTTTTACTATTTAAAATCAGCACGTGCATAGATAAACCCATGTGCACAGCAAACCGCCTTCCCCCCATTGCAAGCGTGACCTGCGACAGGGAGCTGAAGAAGGTTCCAGGGAAAGGAGACACTGGTATGACCAACGAGGAGAGCAGATACAGTTGTGTTCTAAGAAATCTGGGTGGCTGGGTGTGGGTTTGGTTGCCATATCTGCTGGGGGTGGGGGGGCGACACCACTTGAGATTTAGAAGGAGGCTGGTTTGGGGGCATGTAGAAAGAATTGCTCATATCTGTACATGTGTTAACTCTTGGTCTAGATTAGGCAGACAGCATCAGCAAAGCAGAGATTCTCAAAAATTACCTCACTGCGTCCCATAACAGTTCAAGGAGTGTGCTACAAATGACTAAAGAGAGCCAGAAATTTGACCTGCCCAGTGCTTTGATTAATAAATGGTGACCTTGGGATTTGACATGAGTCTGCTGGTCTTCTGAGTCTGTAACCTATCCTTTTTTCCTTTGCTTGGATATAAGTAGATCTGCAATACTGTTTATTGGATGGGACACTTCCGGTAGAAATTATGAACAGTGTAAGGAAAGGTTTAAGTTAAATAATGGCTGGTAGTTAATAATTGCTTAAGGCTGAGAAGGATTTTCTTTCTTTTTTTTTTGAGATGGAGTTTCACTATGTCACCCTCGGTAGAGTACTGTGGCATCACAGCTCACAGCAACCTCAAACTCTTGGGCTTAAGCTATTCTCTTGCCTTAGCCTCTCGAGTAGCTGGGACTACAGGTGCCTGCCACAAGCCCAGCTATTTTTTTTTTTTTTTTTTTTTTTTACTGTAATTGTCATTGTTGTTTAGCAGGCCCGAGCTGTGTTTGAACCCACCTTGGTGTATGTGGCCTGTGCCCTAACTACTGAGCTATGGGCACCAAGCCCAAGGAGGATGTTTGAGGGCACATTTGCCTTTAGGAAACTGTCATGGAGCAGGACATCCCCAGTGTCCTAGAACATCTTGGAGTGTGTCGGAGCCGGGATGCTAGGTTGCCTGTCCTGGCCCATGAAACTGCCAGGACGCAGACCACTGTACAAGCTCGCTCCAGGTATGGCTCCCATAAGTGCCAGGGAGCCCGTTGTCTCAGTCAGATAAGGCTCCCCATCAGGAGGAGCCAGTTGTCTCAAAAGTGCAGCAGTCAGTCTTGGGAGGAGCCCTACTAACTTCGTGGCTATTTATAGAAGTGATCCCATTGCTATTTATACCACAGGTGTGGAGACTACCAAGCAATGATGTATGTGTTCTCCTGCTTTTTAACAAGAGACCAATCCCTTCCCCATTCCCTTATCACCAAGGTGCTTTTTTTCAGGTGTCTCCTACAGGAGTGAGTACCCACTGACGTTGTAATTTACCTGTTACAGATAAGTGGACCACAGTGCTGTAAAGAGGGAGTTGTAGAATGTTCTGTCTTTGTCCCATCAGATCTTAGCTTGGTCCCTGGTCTTTGACCTGCTCACGCTCCTTCATAGGAAGGAGAGAAGAGGGAGGTACAACTCACCCCACCCAGCTATTACACAGATAGGCTGGGACTATAGAGGAGGGGAATAGGAGGTAGAAATACTGATTATCCAATGTGTCTGGAACAGCATGGACAAAAGGGCTCTGGGATTCGAACTTTAAGCCCTATTTCATGTAGTTTCCAATTTGGCTTGGGGTAAAGGAGGAAGCTACTATTTTAAGGTGTGTTAGGATGCTCCACGTTTCTGAGTTAGGGGTACCAGAAGGGCAGGAGGCCCTGGGATCACCAGACCACATTAACCAAAGAGCTGTGGCTCCCTTTCCTGCTTGGTAGGTGTGCCCATTCAGGAGACTACATCTGGGTTCAGTATAACACCGAGACCATGAGTTTCGAGAAGAAAGGGGTTCCACAAGCCAGTTGAAGATACATGTATGTGTGTGCGCATGCATTTTTCCAGCAGAGAGGACCCATTGCTATTGTTATTTCTCATGGCAGAGGGGAGTATCATCCAAAAAGAGTCTTAGGCTGCTTGTTGAGCAGATTAGAAGGGGTGGGAAGCTGAAAGTTTGGATAAAAGGGTATCCACATAAAATTAATATGGCGTGATGTATTATTTTTGTCTGCCCAGACAGAGCTATTGTGAAAATCAGTTGAGATGACAAGTGCTATGGTTATGTAAGGTGTTATTCCTGCCTAAAGCAATGGAAATAATTATCCTGAATTCCACAGATGGCATCAAAGAAACAGACTTTTCTTCCAAACTCTCCTTTTCCTCCTGCATTCCTTTCTGGTCACCAGAACCTTCTGTAGGTCTTTTGGATTGCATCATCTTTTCTTATGTCTTTATGTTTTAGAGACTTACTAGAATTTCCTGGCTTATGGCTTACTTGACATTTATTTCATTTGAATAATAATTCTCATGATAAATGATGAACCTTTCAAGAAGGATATACCTCCTCAGTGTGTTTGTTCCTCCCAGAGGAGGGAGAGGGGCAGGCCTTGGGAGCTGGGTGTGGAGAGGTAATTTATAGGATAGTAAGAGGATGGTACTCTATGCAATGGCAGCTTTAGTCTCAGAACAGAAGGATTTGGACTTGTAGTTCCTGCACTCTTCTCTTACCTGGGGAAGAGCAGGGAGGCATTTTGAGGCCACATTTAAGTGTCTTCACCTCATGTTTGAAACTGAGTCACTTCTAGAAAGATCCTGTGGTCAGCTTGATCTGGAGAATGTGCTGTTGCCAGTTTAGCAAAGAGAGTGTTCTTCCATCCCTGCCGATAAGACAAGTCTTCTCCATTACAGTAGCCACAGGCCCCTTTCTAGAGTGTTGCCACCATAAAACTTACTCAGCAAGCAGGGAAATACACCAGAATTTTGGTGTCACTTCACTGCTTGCTGCTCAGGTTCATGCAATACGTTCAAATTTTGCTCCTAGAAAAAACAATAACAATAAACAAACAAAAAAACCTGTGAGGAGTCCCTTTCTGATATCTATAGAGCCAACCAGTTCTTGCTTTGGTGAACTCTTAAGTCTTGGGGTTTTTTTTTTTTTTGAGACAGAGCCTCAAGCTATCCCCCTGGGTGGAGTGCCGTGGCATCACAGCTCACAGCCACCTACAACTCCTGGGCTCAAGTGAGTCTTCTGCCTCAGCCTCCCAAGTAGCTGGGACCACAGGCACCTGCCACAATGCCTGGCTATTTTTTTGGTTGCAGCCGTCATTGTTGTTTTGGTGGGCCCGGGCTAGATTCAAACCTGTCACCTTAGGTGTATGTAGCTGGTGCCTTAGCCACCTGAGCCACAGGCGCCGGAGCCAACTGTTAATTCTTGTAATGGCAAATATACAATTAACATGTTTATCTGCTATGCAAAGGCAGCCAGTGTTAAGACCAATGGGCAAAAATTATCGTAAATAAATGATATAATTAATACTTCAGAACTCTGTATGCAAGTATCAACTTAGAAGACATCTCTGGCCCTGCTTTCCCTTTGTCTTCACATCCTTGTACACACATTTCATACCTTTTTTATAGATACTTTTCTAGAAGAGGTACCATTGGTCAAATGGTATGCACGTCTCATAGGGTTCAGAGGACACTTATGGCCAAAGTGCTTTTCAGTAAGATGGGGACATTTCCACCAGCAATGGACGGGAATGTCATTCCTCCAAGCTCTGCCAAACCTGGACATTTGCATACCGATATGTTATTTTAAATTCAGCTCTTTAATTATTTGGACAGATGAACTTTTTCCCCAAATTGCCTGTTAGTATGTGATCCATTGTTGTTGTTGAGTTACCTGATCATGCCTTTTGCCCATTGTTTTTCATCTTTGGGCATTTAGTTTCAGGTTATAAACTTTTAAAATCTAATCATTTGTCATGAATACAACTCTTTTTTCTAACATGTAAGTCACAAATTCTCCACTGGTTTGTAATTTGCTATGGAAGTTTTAAATGTTTATATGTATATGTTCAAATTTATGCCTCTTTTCCTTTATTTAGCCTGTATTTGATACCTTTTTTCACAATAATTTCTCAACTCTAAAATTATGTAAACTTTCACTTATTTTTTCACTTTACTTTAATTTTTATGTTTATACCTGTAATTCATCTTGATTATTCCATTTGGGATAAGAGATTTTATTTTTATGCCAAATGGTTAATTACTTGTTTCAGTAATTTTTTTTAGTAATTCATTTTTTCTTCACTGAGATAAAATGCCACTATTATCAAGTAATAGTTTATTCCATGTACATTTTTTAATTTTGTTCTATATTTTAAAAGTGTTATTATTATTTTAGAGATGAGGTCTTGCTATGTTGTTCAGGCTGGTCTCAAACTCTTGTTCTCAAGCAATCCTCCTGAATAGCTGGGATTATAGGCATGAGCCATTGTGCCCTGCTATTTTGTTCTACTATATATCTATTAGAGTTTGCGTGAGTATCATCTTGATTATTGGGATATTAGACTATATTTCATAAATGATACTTCATAAATTATGTCATAAATTATGACATTTCTAGGACTCAATTTTCTTATCTGTAAAGCTATTTCTATTTTATTTGTAATTATGGCCTCCTTTCCGTCTTTCTTTTTTTTTGATACAGGATTTCATTTTGTCACCCAGGCTGAAGTGCAGTGGTGTGATCATGGCTCACTGCAGCTTCTAACTCCCAAACTCAGAGGATCCTCCCACCTCAGCCACCTGAGTAGCTAGGACTACAGATGTTTGCCTGTTTTTATTTTTTGTAGAGACAAGGTCTTGCTGTGTTGCCCAGACTGGTCTCAAACAGTTGGCCTCAAGCAGTCACTCTGTTTCAGTCCCCCAAACTGCAGGGATTACAGGCATAAACCACCATGCATGGCCTCCTTATTTCTTAAATTGAAAGCTTAGCTCATGCGTTTTGAATCTTTGTTTTGAACACTTTAACCCATCAATTCTGAGCTGGACACTTTTTCCAGTATGCATTTTTGAAGTTGGGATTGGGTCTTATCATTGCTAGGCCCTGTAGCAGGTGTGAAGTAGTTGTCATAATCTTTGCTGCATGAGCACTGAAACATGCAGAATGCATGTGCATAGCATAGAAGAAAATTCTAGAGGCCAGAGAGAAGCACTCACTTAAGAAATGCTGAATCACTTATGTTCTTGCTGCTTTGATGTCAACATTAGGAGGAAAATATGGACATCAGTGATTGAGTTGAAAAGCAATTTAGTAGTCAGAGTTTTGAATGTGAATAAGGTTTAAGAATATCATAACCAATTTATTTTGTTTTTATTTTCCTTCATTATATATACATATGAGTTATATGTGATTAAAATCTATATTGAAGTCTCAAAGAATGCTTTAATAAGTCTAAACTTAAAATTTTTTTTTTTTTTTTGAGACAGAGCCTCAAGCTGTCCCCCTGGGTAGAGTGCCGTGGCATTACAGCTCACAGCAACCTCCAACTCCTGGGCTCAAGCGAGTCTCTTGCCTCCGCCTCCCAAGTAGCTGGGACCACAGGCGCCCGCCACAACACCCGGCTATTTTTTGGTTGCAGCCGTCATTGTTGTTTGGCGGGTCCGGGCTGGGGATTCGAACCTGCCACCTTAGGTGTACGTGGCTGGCGCCTTAGCCGGTTGAGCTATAGGCGCCGAGCCTAAACTTAAAATTTTAAGTGACAAAGCATTGTGTCAGAGTTTAATTGGCAGCCTTCGTTCTTTGTGGTACATAAAATAATAATGTTATTATAATTGATGGTGTCATATTTCATGAAATCCAATACCTGCATTTAAGGCTCCATGTTTCCAATTACTGCTTTAGTTGAACCCCACAAGTTTTGATATATAGTACTTGTGTTCATTGATCATTGTGTACTTCATGACTTCCATTATCATTTCTTCTTTTATATGAATTATTTAGAAGTATGGCTTGAGTTTCCAAGCTTATGGGTATTTTTTGGCTGTCTTTTTATTATTGATTTCTAATTGTATTGCATTGCGGTCAGAGAGTGTGGTCTGTGTTACACTTGTTGATACTTCTTTTATGGCTTAATATAGGGGTGGTTCCTCCTTTGGCTGCTGGGGACCTGTCCTCTGCTCCTTACAGGTTTGCAGGGCTGGACTCCATCCCAGCAGCTCACATCTCAAGCAGCCAGTTACTGTACTAGGCTTTGGGGCATAACCTCAAACAGCATTTCCCACAACTGGCTGATCCTAAGAATCACTTGAAGTGCTTTTTAAATTTCTTTTCTTTTTTTTTTTTTAAAGTGCTTTTTAAACATATTGGTTCCCAGCCTGTAGGTCTGGGTCAGAATCCTGTAATCTTCACGGTGAACAAGTACTCCAAGGGGATTCTCATGACTGGACAAATTCAGGAAATTCTATGCACTTGGGAATCCAAAGTAGAATGGGGTAACAGGCAGTGCAGTGATGGGACTAGACGTGAAGAAGATCAGTGCCAAATGTGCTAGTGAGGGAGGGGAGATTTATTAAAAATGCAGGTTCCCCAGCCTCACTTGAGAGATTCTAATTCAATAAGTCTGCCATGGAATTTGAGAATCTGTATTTTAAACAGCCCTCTCAGGTAATTCTGATGCAGACTGTCCTTGTGCCATGCCCTGATAAACCACAGAAAGGGAGGAGTTTGAAGGGAGCAAGTAGCTCAGCTGGCCTGTAGGCTTTTTAGAGTCATAGGCAAAGTCCTTTTAAGACTGAAGAGTTTGGGCCAGGAGTCGTGGCTCATTTCTGTAATCCCAGCACTTTGGGAGGCTGAGGTGGGAGGATCGCTTGAGGTCAGGTATTTGAGACCAGCCTGGGCAACATAGCAAGACCCTGTCTTTATAAAAAAACATATAAAAATTAGCCAGGTATGGTAATATGTGCCTGTAATCTCAGCTACTGGTAGTATGAGCCTGTAATCTCAGGTATGGTGGTAGTAGATGCCTGTAATCTCAGCTACTGGGGTAGTATGTGACTGTAATCTCAGCTGAGGCAGGAGAAATGCTTGCGCCCAGGAGTTTTAGGCTGCAGTGAGATAGGACTGCACTACTGCACTCTTGTCTGGGTGACAGAGTGAGACCCCCCTCTCTAAAAAAAAGAACAGAGTTGAATTTGGTAATTAGGTTGGGACTTGACAAGAGTGGAAAAATATGACTCATTTGCCATATAAATTTGAGAGGAAACAAATACAAAATTGTCTAATTAGCAGTTCTGCTGATAGATGATGGGAATTTGCAGAAGGCACATGGTTTACACTATTCAGTCATCTCCATCAGTTCTGCATCTACAGATTCAACCAGGTGTGGATTGAAGACATTTGAAAAGAAAACAACACTAAAAGTTAACAATGCAACAATAGAACACAAAAACAATTCAGTATAATAACTATATTATTTACATTGTATCTAGAATTATAGTATAGGTACCTCTAGAGATAATTTAAAGTACAGTACACAGGAGACTGTGTATGTAAATACTACTGTTTTATTTAAAGGACTTGAGCATCTGCAGATTTGGGTATTTAGGGAGTCTTGGAGTCAATCTCCTGTAAATACCGAGGGGCAACTGTAAGGCAAGATACTATGTAGGTGGAATAATATCCAGTCTAAAAATGGGTCATAGAAATCTGAGTTTTATTTCTTCTAATTTTCTTATAATCAGAGGTTACATTGTATCTATTGAACGTCTGTGCTCTATGAAGTTATGCATAAAGAAATGCAATATCTATTCAACTGATGTGGCTTTCTTTGTGGCTGGACAAGGCTACAAAATAATAAGAGAACAGACTGACTTTTGCAAAGTATTAATTGTATAGCAGGGTGAAGAAAATCAATATACTTCTATATCTGACAATCACTGGCTTTCAGGACTCCCTTACTTATAAGTGTGGGTGGTTGGGAGTTATAATTCTTTTTCATTTATTCAAACATTAATTGAGCACCTACTTTGTGCCAATCACTGTTCTAAATGCTACTAAGATGAGTAAGACATGTGAGGGGATACCATGGGAGTTTCTAAAGGCAGTTCTTTGTGACCACTAGCTATATTCATCAGTCTTTCTAAGAACAAATCCTCTAGAAAATTGTATTGAGATGCTCAGTACAATGTACAGTGATCTATAGCTCCATTCAAACCTTATTTCTTTTACTTAGTTCAGAGTATGTGAACTGTGTGAATGGGTAAGCAGTCTAGTGTAGTGGTTAGAATTTCAGGCTTTGGTGTCACAAGAATTATGATCAAATATGGGCCTACATGTGTATTTTCTATGTAATCATAGGCAAGTTTCTAACCTTCTGAGCTACAGTTTCATCATCTGTAAAGTGGGGATGGGTAAGTAGGATCCATGTCTGTGGGTTGTCATAGAGTTCAAATGAGATAATGGGTGTGAAGTGTTAACATAATCCCAAGTATACAGTAAATGGTCAACAAATGTTAGCTCTTTTTAGAAAGCATGTTTATAATCTAAGAAACAAGATAGAGTAAAAGGTATTTTCAGTATTTTTAATTAAATGGTCATATCCATGTGTTTCAGGTGCTAAACACAGGAATCAAATGGATAGATTGGAATCTAATGGATACATTGCCAATACAACATCCCCTAGCAGATGGGACAGTTTCTCATCTTCTGCTCAAAAAGGTCCAAGTGTCAGTGAGCCTTCAAGCCTCCCCAGACTGTCTGCTCACCTAGAGTAAGTAAGCATCTGGTGAAGAGCTGTCACTATTGGGGTAAATTATAAACAAGATGCCAACAGTCTGAGAGGTAGCATGACATGGCAAAAGCATCAATTCTGGACTAGACTGTCTGGTTCAAACCCTAGCTCTGCTACTAATATCTCTGTGAACCTGAGAAAATTACTTCCCCTCCCTGGGCCATGGCGTTCTTATCTATAAAATGGTGATAGTTCTTCATGTACTTATCATATACCTGAATATAAAACTCCAGCCTAAACATAGCCCCAAGCTTCAGATTGATATATTCTAGATATCTCCATCTGGATGTCCCATGGGCCCCTCAGACTCAACATGTCTTGATGTCTCCCTACAAACTAGATCCTCCTGTATCCTTTGTCTCAGTTGATAGTCTCAGTATTCATGTAGTCCCAAAGATATATACCCCCAGGTCATACTCATCTCCATTATCCAGTTGGGGATCAAGTTCTAAAATATCTTAGAAGTCCATCTCTTCTACTCTACCTGTATTGCCACAGTCCCATTCTATGCTGCATAACAAATCCCCCAAAACTTAGTGGCTTAGGGCAGTGCCTATGGCTCAAAGGAGTAGGGCACCAGCCCCATATGCCAGAGGTGAAGGGTTCAAACCCAGCCCTGGCCAAAAACTGCAAAAAAAGAAAAAAATTAGTGGCTTAAAACAACAAATATTTATTACCTGATGTTTTCCAGGGGTCAGGAATCTGGGTGTGACTTAGATGGGTTCTTATGTCTCAAAGTCTCTCTTTAGATTGTGGTGTTGGCCAGGGCTGTGGGCTCATCTGAAGGCTCTGCTGAGAGGAGGATCTACTTCACTTCCAAGCTCACTCACACAGTTGTTGGTAGGGTTCAATCAGTTCTTCACAGGCTAGTGGTGCTGACAGATAAGTTCCATACCGGATGTTGCTCAGAGGCCTCCTTCAGTTCCTTGCTTCTATGTAGGGCATCTCAAAACATGGCAGCTGGTTGTGCTCAGCAAGCAAGGAAGAGCACAGACAAGATTAAGCCATAATCTCTTTGCAACCTAATCTTGACATCCCATCACTTTTACTTATTCCCTTTGTTAGAAGTGAGTCAGTAAGTTCAGCCCATACTCACCAGGAGGAGACTGCAGAAGGGAATAAATACCAAGAGGTAGGGATTATCACCGGCCGTGTCAGAGGCTGTCTGCAACACTCTCCTAATTGGGCTCCTTGACTTAAGTCTTATATTCTTTAAAAAAAACTTTTGGCTCGGTGCCTATGGCTTAGTGGCTAGGGTGCCAGCTACATACACTGGAGCTGGCAGGTTTGAATCCAGCCCGGGCCTGCCAAAGAACAATGACAACTACAACCAAAAAATAGCCGGGTGTTGTGGCTGGTGCCTGTAGTCCCAGCTACTTGGGAGGCTGAGGCAAGAGAATCACTTAAGCCCAAGAGTTTGAGGTTGCTGTGAGCTGTGACGCTATAGCACTCTACCAAGGGCGACATAGTGATACTCTGTCTCAAATTAAAGAAAAACAAAACTAAAAAAATTATTATTTATCTTTTGAATACATGCTGCCAACAAGATTACATCTTACATTCTTTTTTTTTTTTTTTGAGACAGAGCCTCAAGCTGTCCCCCTGGGTAGCGTGCCGTGGCATTACAGCTCACAGCAACCTCCAACTCCTGGGCTCAAGCGAGTCTCCTGCCTCTGCCTCCCAAGTAGCTGGGACCACAGGCGCCCGCCACAACGCCCGGCTATTTTTTGGTTGCAGCTGTCATTGTTATTTGGCGGCCCGCTGGGGATTCGAACCCGCCACCTTAGGTGTACGTGGCTGGCGCCTTAGCCGGTTGAGCTATAGGCCCCGAGCCACATCTTACATTCTTAAAAGTCCATCCTTCACACAGCTTCTAGAATTTACTAAAACAGAAATTGGAGCATATGGGCGGTACCTGTGGCTCAAAAGGGTAGGGCGCCAGTCCCATATGCTGGAGGTGGCGGGTTCAAACCCAGCCCCGGCCAAAAAAACTGCAAAAAAAAATTGGAGCATATACGACCAAGTCATGTTCTTGCCTACCATTATTTAATGCTACCTCATTAAAGTGTAATATAGAGTCCAAGTCCCATCACACGAACTATAAGTTCTCCAGATCTGTCTTCCACATCTTCTCCAGCTTTTGTGGCACTACTCCTGCTATAATCACATCAAATTTCTTTACTCCCCTGCTGTTTCTTGCTTCTATGGAAGGACACTGAAGCTGTCTCCTTTGCCTGAAGTGGCTTCCCCCAATGCCTTTGCTTGTGTTCACATGTTAGAGCTGCTCAGCTCCCACTGACTCCCCTAGTGGCTTGTCTTAGCTATTGCCCCCTTTTCTGGGGGAAAGTTTCTCTGTTCTTCCTTACCTAGTGTTAATGAGTGTTGTGAATGGGAGCTGTCATCATCTTACATGACTCCACTTCTTGAGTGCGATTTATTTAAGGGAGGGCACATGATCCAAGCTGAACCAAGCCTGATCCACAGCCTTCTCTGTGATTTTTCACAGTAGAGATGGGAGTTAATATTGGTTGGAAGATCACGAGAATGGGCCTTGTTGCTCTTGAAGAAGCTCATCTGTAATTGGTAAAAGTGAAGCTACGATGTCAAGACAGGCAGGGACTGACAGTTCTGGAGATGTTGAGCTATGATTCCAATTGTCCCCTACTATACCCTGGTCATGGGAACCCATACATCCCTATTATTGTTTAAACATGAGTTTAGGTAGACTTCTGTCACTTCCACCTTGATTAATACCTGTGGCGAATTTATATCCATTCTTGAGACTCCGCTCAGGCAAGCCTCCTCCCTACACTCTTTTTAGATATACCTCCTCAAGCCTAATTAAATTTAGTGTTCCTTCTGGGTACTCCCTTAATTTCTTTTCTTTTCTTTTCTTTTCTTTCTTTCTTTCTTTCTTTTTTTTTTTCTTTTTTGACAGAGTCTTATTATGTCGCCCTCAGTATAGTGTCTTGGTGTCACAGTTCACAGCAACCTCAAACTCTTGGTCTTAAGCGATTCTCTTCCTTCAGCCTGCCAAGTAGCTGGGACTACAGGCGCCTGTCACACTGCCTGGCTATTTTTTGTTGCAGTTGTCATTGTTTAGCTGGCCTGGGCCAGGTTTGAACCTGTCAGCCTTGGTGTCCGTGGCTGGCTCCGTAACCACTGTGCTACGGGTGCTGAGTTCCCTTACTTTCTTGTAAGGTTTTCTATCACTATATTTACCCACTTTTCCACAACTATCTGTGTATATTTCCATCTCCTCTACTCCTAGATCCTTCTCTCTCCCTAGATCCTTCTCTCCCTTAGATCCTTTTCTCTCTGTAGATTCAGAGCCTTCTCCCCTAGATCCTTGAGGGCAGGAACTGTGTTGAATCATCTTTGGGTCCTCAATGTCTAGAACAGTGCCTGCCACAAAATATACTTAGGTAAATGTTTGTTGAGTAAACAAAATGGGTGGATAATACTAAAGTTCTTTTAGAAAATTTCCTTTATCCTTGCAATCTTTCCTATACGGTTTGTTCAGCAAAGCCTTTATTCTCTCATATTTAGGGGAGTAATATTTTATTCCAATGCTGAAATGATTATATATTTTGAAAAGGTGGGTGCTGAGTTACTGAGCTAGGTTTCTTTTTTTATTTTCAGGTCACATAGTCTATAGAGTCAGGAGATCTCACTCTCATAGTGCTCTGACATTATAAGCTATAGATCCAGCCCTGACCCTGTGTAGATATGTTTTATCATAGAAAGTCAACTTCTCTGAGAGCCCGTTTCCTTTTCAAATAGAAATGATGATATCAGCCCTACCTACATAACAGGATTGTTACTAGGGAACAGTCAAGACAAGCAAAATGAAATTGCTTTGAAATTATTCAAATATAAGAGTGAAGCAACAGTATGAAAAAAAGATCCTATGACTTGATAACAGATAACTGTATCTGAAAATGTTATCCAAGGCCATCTAGCAAATGCAAATTCATTTAAACCAGAAATGATCACTTTTTTCAGCTAACACCCACAGCAGTTTGTTGTAGGAGGCCTTTTAACTATTAGGAAATTCAGTAGTTTTCGGTAATTTAAACATAATTCTCCATCATTATAAGCATTTCTGTCTAGGTTTGTTTTAAATTATTTCTTTATCTTCTCTATATATTTACTGACTTTTTATTTGCATTTAATAGTTTTATTGAACATGCATCTTTTCTGGCAATAGACTTATTGAAACATAATTCACATATAATACAGTTAACCTATTTAAAGTATACAACTTGACAATTTTTAGAATATTCACAGAGTTGTGCTATAATCACCATGACCAATTTTTAGAACATTTTCATCACCACAAGAAGAAATTCATACCCTTTAGCAATTACTCCCATCTCCCTTATTTCCTTAGTTTGAGACAACAGTTAATATAATTTTTGTCTCTATAGATTTGCGTGTTATGGACATTTCGTATATATGGAATTATCAGTGTGCAGCCTTTGATGCCTGGCTTCTTTTGCCCAGCATAATGCTTTCAAGGTTGATCCATGTTGTAACATGTATCAGTATATCATTCCTTTTTAAAAATTGTATTAAAATATGTAACATAATATTTGTCATTTTATCCATTTTAAGTATATTAATTTTCAGGCCACATAGTCCATAGAGTTAGGAGATCTGGGCCATAGATCCAGGCCAGACCCTTTATAAGTATGTTTTGTCATAGAAAGTCAAGTTATTGCATTAATTACACTCATAATATTGTGCAACTGTCATCACTATCTATTTTCAGAACATTTTGTCCTCTGATCAGAAATTCTGTGCCTAGGCTCGGCGCCTGTGGCTCAAGCGGCTAAGGCGCCAGCCACGTACACCTAAGGTGGCGGGTTCAAATCCCCAGCCCGGGCCCGCCAAAACAACAATGATGGCTGCAACCAAAAAATAATGGCCAGGCGTTGTGGCGGGCGCCTGTAGTCCCAGCTACTTGGGAGGC